AACAATAATTAAACATCTTCGCTATTGGAATAACTTGAGGTTTTTTAATTTACATTTTTTAATTTTCTCCGTAACCAATAACTGTAAAAAACATTTTAATGTACTAAATTGTTAGTTTTTAAGCTCTACAAAATTCTTTAATGATACAATTGTAAAATTGTATGTTTTGAGGGTTAAAAATGAAAAAAAAAAAATATTCTTACCGGCAAAATACCTATAAAGCAACCGTTCCTATGGCCGGCCTTATCATGCCTATCATGCTTTTAATAACTCGTTTTAATAAATAAATGTACGTTTAGATGATTCAATGATTCATTAAGCCATTAAGCAAAAGCAATAGGCTAAGTCACTTACAATACAAACTAAATGATAAAAAGTCCATCTCTTGATTCACAAATAAAAGTAATGTTTGTACCAAATTCCATTAAATCGGATGATTTTTGGGAATCATCGTGCTAACGGACGATAATAACTTTTTTGGATACAGTTTAGTAAAATCTTTAGTTTTTTTTTTTTTTATACAGGGTCTGCAAAAAACTTACCTAGTTAGAAAATTTATTTATTTATTGTACTAGATACAAACTACTGTTTAACGACTGATACCATAGAGAAGGCTATGCTGATACATTAAATGAAAGGTAATAAAATAAAAGTTATTTTAACACGATCACACCTCAATATGCGAACCATTTGTAGCCCTGCAGACATGCAAGCTATTTTTACTCATTTTTATCATTAATATTTTATTATTCGTATTATAATTTATTACCAAAACTATGTTCAAGGTCAAATAGGTGTACGCAACTTATTCCCAACGTACGAAACTAAAATGTTGAAGTATACTCTACACAGCACGAAATGATTATTACTTATCCATTTGAACAATAGTATCAGACCAGTATCACACCAGAACTCGTCTGTACGTCTTGTAGTGAAATTTCCGATCTTTGTGAATTTGTTGTGTTCTTCAATATCAATCATGTATTTCAATTAATTCATATTCAGCATGCCCTGTATAGATGGGCGCACTTGGCGTGGAAAAATTACCCGCTGCATGGAAGATCTGTAGAGTGATTGTGATTGGAAGATCTCATTTGCCTGATCTTTAAGCCTCAATAAACTGTTAACTATGTTACACTGTTTTATTTTGTTTTCATGTGAAAGTATTGTACCCAAAGCTTAGCTTAAATGTTTATGTATAAACATTTGACAGCTTTGGAAAGAGTAGTTTTGCCGTTGAAGGTATATTTGAAGGTCTGTTTTTCGGCATGTAAACCTACATTTATTAAAACGAGTTCGCGAAGCATGATCAGGCCATGGGAACGGTTGCTTTATGGGGTTTTTGTTAAGAACGGGTTTTTCGTATTTTTGGCCCTCAAAACATACAATTTTACAATGAGTCTCTAAACCATTTTGTAGGGTTTAAAAACAAATAATTTAGTACATTAAAATGTTTTTAAAGTTATTGGTTACGGAGAAAATTAAACAACCTCAAGTTATTCCAATAGCAAAGATTTTAATTATTGTTTTTTTCTTATTTATAGACACATTTTTATAAAATTGGGTAAATTTATTTGTTTCTTATCATACTATTATTATTTTATATACTATATTACCCTCCCTTTAGCAGCAAACCTAGGTACATACCAGTTAAACCTAATGTTATTTAAATAGGTTTGTGAAAATCAAATCAAGCAAATGGAAATTTGCTTAGTCTGCAGGTTTGCTGAGGTGGGGATATTTTCATTCATACTTTCATTTATTTTCTATTAATAGCAAATAGGGATGGACGAGATTGGATTTTTAGTTCGAGACGAGACGAGACGAGATTTTTTATTTCTCATAAAATTTCGAGACGAGATCGAGACGGGATTTCCCTTCTCATACACAACGGGAAATGCGCGTTCAAAATTTTTACCTGATTTTGTAACATTGTTAGATGACTGTTTAAATACAAAAATAATGATAATAGGCAAGAATATTTACAATATTTTATTAAAAAACATCAGCATAACATTTTTTTATTAATCACGCCTAACTTATTAAAAAGCCTACGATTAGGAAACATAGTGATATCAGTTAGGATAGAGTTCAACTTATCCTAAAATAAAATAAATCATAAAATAAAAGCAATATTAATTTTTATAAAATAGTTACTTGTTTTGACTTTTTATAGTAATAAAAAATTCCTCACACTGCTTACACTTAACAAAACTTCTCAAATGTTATTAAAGTAATATTATTAAAATAATTAAATGAATATTTACATTGAAAGAATTTATAAAATAAAAACGCCTTCGCAAAGGAAACGCAACTACAACACACTCCTGTATTGCGGGTATTGCATTGACTTTCTGCAGGCGTTATTAATTTTTTTTTTTTTTTTTTTTTTTATTCTCGTCTCGATAAAAATCTCGGCCAAAAAGAAATCTCGTCTCGTGTAACGAGAATTAAAATTTCCCGAAATTTCGAGACTTGACCATCCCTAATAGCAAATAAACTGGCATACTCTCTAAATCAATACGGTGTTTGCTTCAATTAACTATATTGTGGACATATTGAAAAAACCACAATTTTTATACGTATTTGGAAAATTTATTTATTTTGATGGTCTGTATTGTGACCATTATTTACGCTACATACTTGCTGTTGGGCTTAAACTGTCACAAATTTATCCTCGTTTAATTATATAAAGTAATACTTTCGGTAAAATCAACTGTTCGCGAGATCGAGTGAAAACCCACAGGAATGGTCAGATTTTTGATATTTCGATAACAAGTGGCGCGCCCCGCGGCGAGCGGCAGTATCTCGAGGTGGATAACTTGGATTTTATGTTATGGGCCCAATACTAACAACATATCCAAAAATCAGAACTACCCGACCTTTTGCATACCAAAATGTCTTATTTTACTGGACTATACTATTTATAGCTCCTACTATTCATGTACCAAAGGCAAGTGCATATACAACGTAGTTTTTTATTGTTGTTTTTAAATTGAAATATTTGTATATCAGCTTAAAATTATGAAATTTAACGGCATTCAAACAATGTTTATGTCAAGGGTAGGTTAAGTTAAGAGGAACTTGGTTGAAAATATACATGTAATGACCATGAAACCCTAGTAAAAAGTTATTCATTATTAGAATAGAATGTGAAATCTACAGGAAGTGTCAAAAGTTATAATATAGATAGGTAGTAATTATCTCTGGATTAGAAAACATCATAACTAATCTATTGGTAGTAATATGAAATTATGATTTAAAAGTTTGTGAATAGGCAAATGGTGTGAACAATAATTATCTTTTAATATGGCAAAAATATAGCCTACAATTCAATTAATTATATCTCCTTGAGAAAAGTTTAAATTTTTAAGGTGCCCTACTCTAAACACATGTTAAGTGTTCAAAAATGTTAAAATGATTCAAGTAAATGTGAACTTTTTAATTTCACTATTTTTTACACCAAAACCTTTCAATACAATCATTCACATTAACAAAATTTTAAATAATTAATTAGGGTTAGATACAGCAACAGATATACAATCTTACTTATTTCATAAAATCAATAATCAATGAACCATAAAATATAAGAATAAATAAACATGTCACATGATTGTAGAGAATATTAGGCTATATGCCTATTTATAAACCAGCTGTGGAATTGTGAATTAATGTGGTTTGACAGTTCAGCTTGTTTACGTTTGGCCCATTTGGGTGGTATAGTAAATTGCAAACATTGTATGTGTTCTCATGGCAGCCATGTAGACCAATTAATATTTACTTTTAAAATCCTCACCTCAGAACTTTTAAAGCCAAAGGGGCAAAGCCCACGGTCAGTATCGAAGTGTGAATAGTTCTATAATGGTCCTTGGTATGGTAGCTATATTTTTGTAAAATTTAAGCCCAGTCAGTTCAAAAGTTTATGCACCTATTATTAGTAACACACATACAGACAGACACCACTAGACTTTTATATAATAGTATAGATATAGATGAATAAATAGTAAACGTCAAGCAAATTGGAGAAAGCGCTTCCTGAAACCTTTTATTTTGTAACAAATTTGTGTTAAAAGACTGAAATCTATATAGCTGCTATTCATTTTAAAACAGCCTTGCCTATATGGATCTTAAACATAGCAGTGAAACTCTAATGAATCAGTGATGATACACTTTTATATCACTGTTGTAATAGTTCATATTGTTTTAGCTCCTTGGAAATGGTGCCTCAAGTTGAAAACCTCATCCTAGACAAATTGACTTTGGAATGTTTGCTAGAAGATGATTAGATGAGCTATCTATTGTACCTCTTACACATTGCTTTATATTTATTATTTCAAAATAAAAAAGTTTGTTATCTGGGTTTTCTTAATCTTTTTACTTTCTCCCCTTTTAGACTACGTCATATAGTATAGATGCAGAAAGTATTGATTAAAAAAAATTTAACATTTACAGTTTTGGGCGGAAATATCCATTTTGGATTCCCTGAACCCGTAAAAGTGGTTTTCAAAATGATGTCTGTGTGTGTGTGTGTCGATGGGTACCGATACACCAATTTGAATTAAATTTGATATTTGGGTATTAATCAATTATATATCTAGGCACTTTTTCCTTTTGTTTAAAATTAAAACTTTTATGTTTAACTAACTATGATTTTCTCATAAATTAACAGAAAAATCAGAATTTCACAAAAAACTGCTTTGATTAAAGTTTAAAATATTTATATTTTATAGTACTTTTAACTCTGAACAAAGTGGCACAACCCTGTAACATTTACTGTATAAAAGTTATAGCAATGATTGTGATTTTCCCTTATAGATAACCCCATAGTTTTCCTCTGGCATTTTTCCATAATTGTGGATGTGTAATTTTAGTGTCAAGCGAATGGGAAAAAATGTGTTAGATTCCCGATACATTTTATTTTGTAATAAATTTGTGTTATTGATGATAGGATTGGGTAGTATTGAAATGGCTATTTAAGACAAAAAGGAACTATTTATTGAAGGTAAAACATCATGTAACCGGGGCGAGGGGAAGTCTGGTCGAAGTGTTCCAAACTTGACAAGATAGTCACGTGTTGTCTCTCTCACTGTCACTCCTGGGACCTGGAAAATATCAGTCTTGCTTACATTGTTTGTAATGTAACAAACAAATTCGCGGTTAATCCGCAAAATACTATTGAATAGGAAAGGGTATTAAAATACGAGACAGTATTAAATAATGGTCATTAACATATCCATATTGCATTAAAACATAATTGAATGTTGTATTTGACAGGAATCACAATGAATAACCTACGTATTTTTTAAAACAATGACACACGTCAATACATAGAAGAACTACAGTCTTATAGATTTAAAAAAATGTATAAGACAAAATATCGTGTATTAATTTTAATTTATTTGAAAATAATATGTATAGTAACAGTTTCCTGTTTTAAACAAAGAAATATCTCTTTTTGACTCTACTGTCATGTTTTTTAACAGAATTTTGTCTGCACTTAGAGCATTGTATTGCAATCAGGGTAAAAGGGGGGTTGGGGCTGGTCTAGTGGTAAGAGTGTGAGACTTTGCTCTCCCGAGTTCAAATTCTGCCAATAACGTATGGATTTTATGTAAAAAAAGTTATCATTCCAAATTCTCTAGGCCTAGCCTGAAGTAATTTGCGAAACCATCCCGGACAAAAAAGTAATGTTTACATACCCCAGCTACCACTGAGCTGACTGAGATCTAGATACTGATGAGGAGACGCTGCCTCTAGTAGCTCAGTCAATTGTCGTACTAGAGAGGCAAACGTCGGCCGATCACTTGGCTTCTCCTTCCAGCAGGATAGCATGATGGCATACCTGTAGGTAAATGAAATGAATCTGTATTCTGTAATGAACTGAATCTGTAAGATAAAAAAAGGACTGCACTTCCTTTAGTCAGGACAATTTATATAAAGTTTCATGGTTTAAGGACAAACCATGATGGGTCCTTTTCAAACCATTGAAAAGCTCTCAAGATATATGGTTGCCCACGTTACTAGAAAAACAATAAAATCCCCATTGTCTCTGGTTGTGAAATATCAAATAGATCTTTTCAGCAATGGGCAGCATAGGTCAGTTTTTAGCTAATTTAAACTTTGTCTTTGTGCAAGCAGGGCAGGCCTACTTTAGTTTTGTATAGCAACAAAAAATCCCGTTCTCTTCTCTATTATTATTCATTTAATTTTTATCTGCCCCTTATAGTTTAAAATATATGCTCCAAACTAAGATAAGTGACAGTTGTGAAACAATGGTCAACTCACAGCTCATTGCTGCATGTCGGTGGCTGTTCCATGCGAAAGCCGTGTTTCAGCAATCGGAACATGTGATTGGTCGGAGTGGAAGGATAAGGGTTGCCTCCGAGAGTCACTATCTCCCACAGTAATACCCCAAACGACCAACTGCAAACATACAGACGCACACAAAATGTTAAATAACTCTGTTTGGATTAAGTAAATTCCAATTGAATTCAACTGAAAGACAATAAAGGTTTGAACAAAATTCACTGTAAGATAAATTTTTCCTACAAAACTTTATAAATTAAGGTTTTTTTGTTTTATTCCAACTTTTCTATTTTATTTTCTATATTTTTATACGTGTTACATTTACATAATTTATAATCATTAGTGTACAAATTCACTGCCAACCAACAGGTATTGCGTTGTTCATTCTGGAAAAGGATTTAGTTTAACTTGACACAGCACAATCAATAATACATTATAATATAAATTGAAAAGAAAAGCTAGCTAACAACCGGCCACAGGGTCGCTTTACCAAAATCAGAATACAAAATATTTGGGACGGAAAATGAGGTTCACCCAATCAATATTGGTTTCCTCTTTGCCAATCACTTTCACTTACTTTAGCGCCACTTACTATACATAAGTATTACAATTCCTACTTTCCTATCTTATTTTCATGCATCAATTAATCTTATTTGGGATTAGTTATGGATAAATTTAAAAAGAAATCTGTAAAATATTGAACACAGATTTCCTTTAAGTAAAATCTATCAGTCTGCTAGGGTAGATATTCTCCGAGCTCTAGTGGCTACACAAAGAAATCAGAAAAGAACTAAGTGAATTTTCCTATTGGACTAAATGGCAAATCAATACTGTAAAAGTAAAAAATTATCTGCTAGATTTTTTGGACAGCCTATTATTTGCGATGGGCACAATTGTTTGAAGTGCCTAGGGTGATAGTGAGGTTTTAAATTGACCCAACCAATCAAACATACATACACGTCACTCTGGGTGGTGTATATCTGATGTAGTAGTGACTCTAACGCCATCCACTTGACTGGAAGTTTCTCTGAACTCTTCTTGCAGTAAATGTTCTGCTCGTAAACGTCTCTGCTGAGTCCAAAGTCGGAGATCTTGACGGACTGGTCATTGCAGACCAAGACATTGCGAGCAGCCAGATCTCTGTGGACAACTTTGTTGCTGGCCAGGTACTCCTGTGAACATCCATAGCTCAATGAAAACGTTAATTAAAGTTGATTATAAATTAGAAGAGAAGTCAAAGTTTGGTATTAACTATCTTTATGAAACCAAAAGTAAATATTTACAAACACAACATAAACAAATGAATATTAAACATATGTTATTTGTCATCTTCCCCTTGAGCTTGGAGTCCTAATCTTTTTTTTATAAATCTATTATTTCTTCTCTTCATACCCTTATCTTTAATAGAAACTAAATAAGATCTGGGTTGTTGAAGTTTCTTCTCTATTACTCCTTCATCCCATGTTTTATTGAATACATCTTGAACCCATACTTCCTGCCCTTCAGTAAAGCTATCTTCACGGTTTAAAGACTTTCTATCATAATGTGACTTTTGTGCTTTCTGAGTTTCTATCATATTTTCATAGATGCTGTCCTCAACAAGTTTGGGTTTTAATAGTTCTTCTCTCATTGGAATTTTACTTCTTAAGTGTCTGCTGTTAAGAAGCTGAGCTGGAGAAACTTCAAGGTTAGATATTGGGCTGTTTCTGTAGTTTAATAAGTATAACTGCAAATCTTGTTTTGTTTCTTGGCATTTTTTTAACATTTCTTTCACTATTCCGACAGATTTTTCCACTAATCCATTTGATTGGGGATAGTATGGACTTGTTGTTATGATTGTTACATTCCATTCCTGAGAAAACTGCTTAAACTCGATACTGTTGAAAGGCATATTATCAGCAATCAGTGTTCTAGGTATCCCAAATCTAGAAAATACTTCTTTAAGCTTAGAAATAATAACTGAACTACTTTTTGAACTTATCTTCAGAGCCTCAATCCACCGAGAGTAATAGTCCACAATTACTAGATAATAACTTCGTTGAAATTCTGCAATATCAACTGCAATTTTGCTGAATGGAATGTTTGGAATATCATGATTCATCATTGGACTTCTGGTTTTTGATTTCCCAAATTTTTGACAAATTTTACATGTTGACACTACATTTATTACATCAGAAGTTATACCTGGCCAGTAAAACAATTGTTTCATTTTTTTGTTGATTTTAGAGGATCCTAAATGAGTTTCATGTAGAGTATCTAATACAAACTTTCGCAAACTTTTGGGTACAACTATTCTTTCGCCATAATAAATTAAATCATCATTAACCTGCAGGTCTTGTCTGATATTAAAAAAATGTTTTATCTCACCCTCAAGTACTTTTGGATCCGGCCAACAGTTATGTAGATACTCACTTACCGAGGTCAAAATGTTATCTGACTTAGTTTTGGATTGAAAAAGTTTTAGTCTAGGTTCGTCTTCAGTTATTTCATGAACTTCCACAGTGTGAATGAAATCATCCATTAGAACATCTTTGGGTTCGATAGTTTTTATTCCACATCTTGACATGAAGTCGGCAATGTACATATATCTTCCTGGTAAGTATTTTACTTTCAGCTGGTAATCAATTAGTTTTAGTTTCAATCTCTTTAGTCTGTTACTAGCTGTGTACCCGTTCTACGCACGGGGATCTTATAATATTCAGTTGAAACCTTCTTATATAAAGAACAGCAGTTGGTTTGCATATTTTAAGATATGCTGGCCAAACTATTATACATAGCTTCATTTTATGTTGTTTTTTGTTGTTCCGGATCGGTATGACAATCAATAAAAGGTTAAATTACCTCTGTGTCTGCCGGTCGATCCTATAACGGTAGGCTTACTTTTATTTTTACTATCTGATCTCGTTTGCATGGCTCAATCACGTCCTGGTTGAAGTTCGTTCGCTACGCTCACTCACCTGTATGTTGGAGCTCGTTCGCTGCGCTCACTTTCCTTCAGGTTAGCTCGTTCGCTACGCTCACTTGCCTTCAGGTTAGCTCGTTCGCTACGCTCACTCGCCTCCAGGTTGCAAATTAGCTGTTGTCATAAATGTAAAAGAAATAATAGTGCTAGTGCTGCACCCTGTTGGTAATCCTTGTAACTTTAATGCTATTGAACATCACAGAACAGAACCAACTTGTTTAATTGAAACAGCTGTTAAGATTCAATAATTTCATTTCTCATAAGGTTAACATGGGCTTCCAGAAATTCCACGTCAAAAATCGACAAAAACTTGATTTTCAAGGGTTTACTGTTAAATATCTAACTGTCTCATATTCGATGAAATACGTCTAAAACCATCTCATATATGTATAGTATTTGGAAAATAAGTTTCAGGCGGGACAGTGCTATAGTTATTGAGGAGTAGTTGTAATAAAGTGCGTATTTTAGCGTTACCAAGAGAATGACAGATAGACAGACAGACAGACAGACAGACAGACAGAAATTGAGATAAGGTTTGATTCGGTTTCTCTGACCTATGAAATGTAAAAATAACCAAAAAGTTCATTATTCTAAGCAATGTACAGACAAAACTCTAATTTTATTTATATAGATTTACAATTTTCCCAAGTGGTTTTACTGCTATTGACACAAGTGGTAAGTGATCTGTAAAAACTACTACATCCTGAAGACCATATATATATAAGTGTGCAGTTTTTTTACAGCAAAACAAATTGCCAGTTGTTCTTTCTCTATCTGTGCATAGTCTTGCTCAGTATTGTTCATTGATCTGGACCCAAAATGTACAGGCTTACCATTCTGAAGCATACAAAAGCCAATAGCATCCTTTGATGCATCACATTGGATTTCCACAGGTATATCTGGATCAAAAGGTGCGAGAACCTGAGAACTACAGATTATTGTTTTTAAATCTTCAAGTACTTTTGAATGACTCTGAGTCCAATTCCAAACTACATTCTTTTTTAGAAGTTCTCTTAATGGAGCAGTTAATTCAGACACATTTGGAATGAAACTTCTTAAATAATTTATCATTCCGAGCATTCTCTGCAGTTCAGTTTTGTTAGTTGGATTGACTAATTTTTTGATTGAATCTATTTTGTCAGGATCAGGTGACATCCCTTCTTTTGAAAATTTTACCCCTAAGTATTTTACAGTACTGAAACTTGCTTAAGTTAAATTTGATATTGTACTTTCGAGCCCGCTCAAACACTTGTTCAAGAATTTCATCATTTTCTTCTTTAGATCTGCTTGCTATGCAAAGATCGTCGAAATAAACTGACACCCCTGGTATATCACCAAAGTATTTACTTACAAGCCTTTGAAACATTTCAGGCATACAAGACAGACCAAAAGGAGCTCTCAGAAATTTATATGTTCCAAATACAGTTGCAAAAGAACAAAGGTTACTTGATTCCTCGTCTAAGCGTACATGATAAAACCCATCCTTTAAATCTAAGATGGAGAAATGAGTTTTGTTGTTTAGCATAGGAGAAATTTCATTCAAAGTTGGAATTGTGAACTTCTCTTGCACAATATTTTTATTTAACTCTATTGGATCAATGCAAATTCTTAAGGACCCATTGGGCTTTTCCACCACAACATTACTTACCCAATTTACTGGTTCTTCAACAGGTTGTATGATGCCTCTTTTCACAAGAGAGTCCAAGGTCTCTTTAAACTTATCTTTAATTTTTAGAGGTAGCCTCTTGCAGTACTAATTGTGGGTTGTGCGCCCTCTTTTATTTTGATTTTACATTTATCCGGGAAACAGCCTAATCCTTCAAAAACATCTTTATTTTCCTCAAAGATTTTTAACTTCTCTTTCTCTAGGTCGGTATTACCACCATTTTCATTTCTGACACTGTCAATTCGTTTTAGTAGGTTAAATTTAATACATGTTTCAAGTCCTAAAATAGGTACTGTGTTTTCATTTTTTACAATTAAAAAACTAACTACATCAAACTTTTGATCGGTTTCAATTTGAACATCGATTATACCACAAAGCTTAATGGAAAACCCCCCAAATGACTGCAATGTGGTGTTACAAGGCTTCAATTTACTAGGCAAGTTTAGATTTCTTAAATAGCAAAATGGCAATACATTGACATCTGCCCCACTGTCAAGTTTGAATTTTATTTCTTTGCCTTCTACCACAAGAGTCTTATACCAAGCGTTTTTATTTTTTATGCTATCAACCACACAAAGGCTATTAATGTCTGATTCATGATTGTCTTCAACTGACATGCTGTTATTACAAACATTTTGCAAATTATTACATTGTTTTGAACCAAGGAATTTATTGTTATTTCGGCAAACACTAGCAAAGTGGTTTGGCTTACCACATTTTTTACAGATTCTTCCTATTGCAGGACACATTCCATGATGGATACCACCACATCTATAACAATTATTAGTTTTGCCTACCTGTCTGTCGTAACCTCCTTGTGACGTTTTATACCCCTGCTGCTGCTGCTGATTAAAACGTCGTATTGCACTCATGCCCTGTCCATCTGTAAATTTAGAATTCACGACCGTGTCAACTTCAAAATTGTTTTGATCTGTTTTACCTTTATTATTGACAAGTCGCACATTTTTTTCTGCAAGTTCAGATGCTTTACAGAAGTTGATTACTCTATCAAAACTTGTATCTTCTCTTAGTAGTTTTTCCTGCAACTCTTTATTATTCACTCCTAGAATTATAAGTGCTCTCAATATTTTTTCTTCCTGTTCTTCAAACTTGCAACATCTTATTAGATTTCTGAGGTCTGCGTAAAACGAGTCAAAATTTTCATGAGGTAGTTGTTTCCTTGAAAATAAAAGATGAATGCTCATGGTCATATTTTGTTTTGGTACACAGTGTTTTTCCAATGTCTTCATCACGTTTTCAACAGTTTCAACCACAGACTCATCTTTTATTGAGTTGTACAATTTCAAACCATCTGTCCCCAGTAGATTTTTCAGTCTGGCTAATTGAATTTCCTTACTTTCTTTTGTTGTTTTTTTAGCAATAAAGTAAATGTCGATTTCTTCCTTAAACTGTTTAAATTTGTCTGAAATGTTTCCCTCCGATAGGTTCAGTGGATCCGGTTTATTGAACTCCACTGTTTATATTTAAACTTTACTTTTTCTTCTTCTATTTAAACTTTACGACTGCGCCATGATTATAAATTAAAAGTCAAAGTTTGGTATTAACTATCTTTATGAAACCAAAAGTAAATATTTACAAACACAACATAAACAAATGAATATTAAACATATGTTATTTGTCAAAAGTATTGTGTTACCTTACAATATCCTTGGGTGTCTGGCTAAAACTACATGTTTCGTGGTGACTACCACATCATCAGGTTCATCCTTTTCTAAAATTCGTCATACACTTAAAATTGAAACACACGTCAGGACACATTTAACAAAAAGACTTTACATTGTTGTAACGTTGCTGCTGATTAACGTTGACTGTAGTACGATTAAAGTGATAGTTTTGTATTAAGATCATGACTCAAACAAAACATTCAAAACCGTTAAATGTAGCTCTCTACAACTGAAGTTCTAGTTAATATTTAAACAGTTTTTTTTTTTCAACCAATCACTCAATAATTATGAGACAGTGACACACACTTCTGTGTGTATTTTAGGCTGGATATGAATGCAATGGAGTGACATGACCTGTGTAACTTTGTTACTGACTAAGATCAGCTGTTACATTGCTCAGGATCATTTAAGCAGCAAACCTGCAGGCTAAGTAAAATTCCATCCAGGGTTTATTTATTTTTTACGTAATCTTTATGTTTAAAAATTTCTTTAACAATTTAAATAAGTCAAATACTAGTGTACCTGTTGCTCGAATTCGAGCAATTGCGAAGCATTACAGGCGACTCACGAAGATTATGGAAATGATCACGATCTACACAACAGTTAGATATAATCAAAATCTTTTGTAAATACCTTATCTTTTCTCAAAAAGCTGACCTTGTTTTTTTAGTGTTACTATAAATTTTTCCCTCTCATAGCCACATTAGGTTGTCTATAATAACGATTATAAATGAAAGTGTTAATTCAGTTCCCAAGTTTCGTCTACAGATGCAATATGCCAAAGAATATCATATTGTACCTACGTACAATCTCCAAGAAGTGGTAAAAAAGGCAGAAACCAACCCATACAATAGAAGTTAACTCCATAAGAAATAATTTTAAAAGTTACTGCGATATTAGGATTTTCCACTGATTTGGTAATAGAACATTATATTGCAAAACATGACACAATGCAGAAGAAAATCAATTTTAAAATCAGAAAAATCCATTGCAAATACTGTACTTTATTTTGACAAATTCAATAAATCACAATTTAAATATTAACAGCTGTTGCATTAAAAAGTAGTGTAGAATTATGCATATGGTCATAATGTAAACAAATCTGAAGAGGCAACTTTAAAGGCTTCTGGGGCAGAGCCCCAAGGGAATTAACCTCTTTCCTCTTTTGATGGCTCATCTACAACAGACCAAGACCTTTCTTTAGAGACCCCTACCAAGTTTCTACGCCCACCCGTTCTCTCAAATTAGCTGTGACAAAAACCCGTTTTCCTCCATAAGAATAACATGGGATGGAAATTTAAAGGCCACGGGGGCAGAGCCCCAAGGGAATTAACAATGTTTCTCTTTTGTTGGCTCATCTACAGACCAAGACCTTTCTTTAGACACCTCTACCGAGTTTCTACGCCCATCCGTTCTCTCAAAATAGCTGTGACAAAGAAAAACAGTTTCAAATTAATATATAGATTCTTACCATGCCAACAGCAATCTGACGAGCAAATGATAGTAAATGTTCAGACAAGTTTTTTCTTTCATGTTCCTTATTTCCTGGAATAAACAAACAAGTAAATAAAAAAAATGAAATTATAAATGAATAGTTTATTTAGACAGGCAAAAGTTAGGGCCACATGGCCCTTTCTTACGCTTAACCTGTAGTGAAAGTAAATAATTACACTAAGAGAACAAAACACTAAAACAATATTGATATTGTGATTGACAATTTTGTTCATCCAAATTAATTAAAGGAGTTCACAAAATAAAAAACTAAAACAGTTCCCATGAAAATAGCAGATTACTGGGTACCCTTAAGAGATATATTGATGAACTTTCAAATGAAGTCTTCATCAGGCCACAAGGGGTCCATTTTCATTCATTTAGAACACGTCAGTTATTCTATCTGATAATAACACGGCTCAAGACAATGACACATGAAAACACAAAGAACATTTGGCCAATTTGTTACAAAGTAATATGTGCGAAGACTACGTGGTGCGACATATTGGTATAGACTCTGCTCTAGTTTCAAAATTAACGAAAATTTACACTTTGTGGCCTGATTAAGACTCCCTTTGAGAGTCTAAACCGATAGCCTAACTACCGGTACAAGAATCACTCCGACAGTAAAACGGTACTACAAGTGATTCAGAGATTTACAATACAAAAAAATACTCTAAACTTTAAAAAATGTTAGTCCTCCTTAGTAAGCGCAAGTATTAAGATTAATTTCTACATAGTCAATGTATCTACATTTTGGTCCATTCACAAAATTAATGCGGTTTCGAGGGGAAGTTCCCCCAGCACTTTTTTTTAATGCTTAACCTACTGTATGTTGCAGCTGATTGACGTCAGCTGTTGAGCTGTTGTTTTAAAGGTAGGATCAAGTGGAGGGGATAGATTTCTATCCCTAAAACCGCCAATATTTTGTGAACAGGGTATAAAATAAACTTAACTGTAATAAGTTGTCAAATGTAAGTTTAGTCTTTAGCTTTACTAACAATGATTAAGATTTTTCTGGAAGTTGTTTTATAAAATTGTTTTGACACACACTAATTAACCTGGAATCTAAAAACAATTTTTTGTATATAAATTACATAAAAATCTAATCTATTCTTGACAGAACAAATTTGAAAAACATACTTACTGACATGAAAGTCATACAAGGCATTTGATACAACACCAGGAGAGCTGGTTCTGTCTAAGGTTATCGGTCTGGCATAACTCCCTGTAACAGTGGTACCGGTAAATGATTTGGTACAAGATGAGGAATTTCAAAGTGTTATTCAAATGTGCGTGCATAGTGATTAGTGATTATTCTATGAACTGTTGGTTGACAAATATGAAGGTACAAAATAAACTTTTGCTTGTAAACTCTTGTATACCAATTAAACTTACTTTTGACACAAAACAATACTTAAGTACAGTACAGTTGTAACAATAATTATTTTACAGTATTAAAATATTATTATTTTACAGTAGTAACAATAGTTATTGTTACTACTGTAAACTACAATTTCTCAGTCATTTTTAACTTTTCTCTCAGACATATTGACTAGCCACACTCTATACATGAAAACCTAAGTGGTCAGTACAACAGTTTCTCGGATTTTAAGCTCACAAATTAGGATTTTTTACCTTTCATATGAAGAAAGTGTGATTTTTGAGGTTAGAGTGCTGTAAAATGTATTCTTTACAAACACCATTATGAAGTGCAGTCCATTAAATGACTGCGGCACATTTTAAACTTCCAATAGCTACTTCCCAATATTTATCTTCTACTAAAATTTAAGTTGAGTCACACATAGCGCTCTGGCTTACCATTGCTTTGCACTGTAATGATATCAGCGTACTGAATATTCCCTACAGTGTACACTTCTGTAGGATTGTTCTCTGTCTGTTTCTTCCATTCCTAGTTTAAAAACAAACACTAGTTAAAATCAATAAAAATAAAAATGTATATAAATTCATTGCATAAATATGCATGCATAAATATTCATTGGTTATTTCATTTTGTTCAGGATTTGAACATGACTTGCTTATGAAGATTATATGAGTTTCCCTTTTGTCTTAGCTTGAATCAGACTGGTTGATTTATTGTGTGTCTTCGTACTTTGGTTTATTTTCACTACATACTAAAATGGGTATTTCTTCATTAGAGAGTTTGAGATGATACACTGTTCCATATAGTTTTGGTTGAAAAAATTTTAAAAAATATATATTTAACTATATGTAATATGTCTTCAAAATCTCAACCAAATCTACTTGGTAGAGAGATTATGTTTAGTTTAAATATTTTTCAACAACCTCCTTATTTCTGAAAAACGATGAAATATACTGGTTATAAACTTGTTTATTCCCTCATAATTTTTATTCCCCAAAAGTGTTACTCCTAAATAATTTTTCTCATCCTAGATGGCCATTATTGTAGAGTAACAATAATGGCCATTCATCAACACAAATTTCTTTATTTAAATCTCAACAAAATCATCAGCACTGATGCAGTTTTTATTTTCCGCCAAGCCCAAAGAAAAATACTGAATTACTTGTCTCAGATAATTCTGAAGGTCTCCCAGGGCGCAGAACTCCACAATGAGCAGCAGACGACAAGACTGAGTGCAACAGCCAATCAGAGAGACAATATGTTTGTGTCTTCCCACAGTCTTCATCACTGCTATCTCCTTCTGGAACTGACGGCTCTCCTCTGCTGTCGGGTTGGCTGGGGACATAGACAAAAGAATTAAATATAGACAGACAGCAGCGCTACAGTTAGCTTATATTCTGGCAACCACGGCTAAGAGTGTGCTAGTTCGGCGCACACTGCTCCAGCGTCAAGCGCTAGCAAGCGTTGCCATGACAAGTTGGTATTTGGAGCCAGGGTTGCCAACTTCTGGAAAATTCCCCGGAATCTGGGTGGTAGGAGTTTGTTCCGTTATTTATCTGTGTTTTAAAATATTCTGTAGATAAAAAAGGGGATTTTCTGTTAAAATTACGAAATTTCAGAATTTTGTACTTTACCCATATTGAAAAGTTGTTCTGTTACATAGGTAGCATTTTGTTTGGAAGTGTGGTTAGTGTTCGTAGCAGACGGTGAATCGACAACAGCAGCAAATCAACTAACACTGAGCACGATCTTACGGGCACATCTTTGATCCTTCTTTCAGTCTCTATTTAATTATTTTGTCTATGCTAAGACCAAGTAAAAACTGTTTTAATTCAAATTCTTAAACATGCTTTAGAGCGTTTTCAATTTAAAACCTTTTTGATGCAAAAAAAGTCAGTGATAATCTCTCATATAACACTTTTTGTTTAAAATTAGATGTTTAGATCTGAATACTTGAGCCATTCATCAGCACATTTTTGTTTTAATTACTGTTAGTAATTACTTGAATCCATGAATGTAATTTCAATTATCAACCAACTTATATAGTCTACATACAAATGCAAACTGAAAATTCCAAAAAAATATGTTAAGTTTAACTAATAACTATCATAACTCATTGGGAATCAAATTGTTCTACAAACTGCCCTCAGTACTGTACGGTAAAATGTTTGTATATCACCGTAATGTGTATTAAATAACGTCATTTTTGTAACCTGTATCAAATAACAAGAACATTGAGCCCAACCCTAGTAGCACAAATATATATTAAATACATATGAATAAATGTATTTAAAATCTATTTTATATATCTCAAGTGTGTATTAATGTCAATTTTATATAATATTTAAAATATATTAAATATATAAAAAATATGTTTTTGAATCTATTAAATATTTAAAAAATATGTTCCAATAATATATTTTAGTGAATAATATTTAAATAAAAAATTTATTTAATATCTCTTCCAAACATCCCATGGGGCCTAAACATAAAAACACAAAATAATAAAGATTTAGTATGAAAAACACAATTATCAGTTGAGTTAATTGATTAAATAGTTTATAAAAACAAATTTTGAAAAAATTACTGGATAAAATTTTTTCATCCCGGGTGGGTCTCGAACCTGGGTCCTCCAACTTATGAGCCTCCTACCTTACCTCTGAGCTACTTGTGACTGTTGTTAGCCTTAGTTTTCAAATGGTGAAAGAGTGGCCCTCAGTTGCAATGGTTGCAATACTTGAAATATTTTTGATACTACAGTATAATATGATTCTGTTAATATGTTTTGGCATCAAGTAGTTGAGTTGAATAGTGCTGTAGTGAATAGTGAGTAGTCTCCACGAATACAAATACAGTAAACTACAAAAATTAATTTAAGTACTATGACAAATATTATGTAATTTATGGCATATGTAAATCAAATAATTATTTTTAGAACGTCATCTACAACCGTAGTTAGTTTCTTAAAAGGTCGCCAGTCACTAGCACCCTTTTCTAGCCAATCATTCGAGATTTCTATGATCACATTCATTGTCACATATTGCAATAAAAAAAAAACCCCCATCAACGCTTTTTTCGTTTGACCCGAATGTAGCTGTCAAACATGTATACTGCCTCTTAACTATATGCTATTTTTTTCTTTACGTGTATGATAGAGTGACACCATTCAGAGTACTTATTATTATTAACTTAATTTTAACGCTTTCACAATAGCAATTATCATACAAAAAATGCATGTATAAATTGATAGACACTATGAAAAACAAAAAGGTGCAAATTATTTATTTGTTAATTATAAAAGATTATAGGATATATATTCTACAAATATAATATTATTTTATTAATAAAAAATATCTGACGTGTTTCAAAATATATTTATAAATAATTTAAATATGTAATAGTTTCAAAAATATTTTATATATATATTTAAAATATTCTCAACACATAATTTTTTTAAATATTTAATAGGAAAAATATACATATAAAATATGTATATTATAGATTCTATACTTGTTTTATCAATATATATTATGAATATATTTTATATATTCAAAACTTATATTTAATTTATATTTTGCATTGCTTTTTGGTAATATTTTAAATATATATTTGAATATATCAAACTATTATTAAAGATATATTATATTTATATTTTATTCGAGGTTCTATCAAATACAACTTTAAATATATAAAATATTTATAAAATACATATTTGTGCTACTAGGGAAGCACGAAATAATTGCAATGATATTAAGCATACCACGACACCAAAACCGAAACCAAATGTATACTTAATATCGTCGTAATTATTTTGTGTTTGGGCTCAATGTTCTTGTTATTTTACGCAGGTTACAAAAAAGGGGTTATTTAATACACTTTATGGTGAAAAAATAAAATTCTTCCAACTATGCATTGAGCCTAGTGGGTGACTCATGGTCAAAACCCAGAGCAGTCGAGCGAGGGCTAATTTAGGGGCTGGGACACCACCCGACCGTCCTAATCCCTCAGCCGCCACGAATCTTTGCGGAAGGTATAAGCCATCTTAAAATAAGGAGATGGCCTTTAATAAAAACAATCTAAACATCACAGCACTGATCAGATCACATATGATAAAGTTATAAATTAGCTGAAACTGTGACATCACGGCTCTTTAAGGCCATCTCACCAGAGACTAACCCAAGATAAGTAAAATATCACTGTTTCATACCTCGTAACATTTTGACTGCTACTTCCAGAGGAGCCCCTGAAGGTCTGCTGAGCAGGCCTTTATGTACAACACCGAAAGCACCTTCTCCAATCATGTCACAGATCAGCAAACTGTCCTTGGGAATCTCATATTCGTCCCCTTCAAAAGGTGGAACATCGCAACTATCTTCACTGCTTCTTGATGTCTTTTTCATTGGCTGAAATGTATCAATTTGGTATAAATTGACTCTGGGAAGATAAACATTTCCTTGATGTTACTAGTTATGCTTTGTGGTTTGCTTTAATTCAGTGTAAACTATAATTCCATAGGAAGGAGTTAAGTAACTATGTTACTGAAAATGAATATAGCCTACTGTGTGTAATTAATTATACTCATTTGAGCAGCAACAGGGGTAGTTTTTGTAATTTTTTATGTACACTACTATGCAATAACCTGTTTTGCTATATGTTTATCAACTTCGAAAATCCATCATTACATTTGTTTACCAAAGAAATCTTCTCCTTAAAACAGGTTTATACTCTCATATAGGTCCCAAATTCAGTACCTAGAAGGGTACATCAGGGGAAGAAAAGAACCCCCAAACCCCCCCTCCCCTTTTGGTGGTAGGGTGGTCAAGAAGGGCGGGGTAGGGTGGTCAAGAAGGGGGGGAAGGGTTCATCAGTAGGGTTATAAAAATTTCACAAACTCACAAAGAAGAGAGTTGAACGTGTTTTTGTTCGTGTTAAGAATATACATATTCATAAACTTCAACTGTTGTTGTTCCTAATCTGTCATTGAGTGAAAATTTTGAAACATACATTTTTATGTCCCTGGCCTTTTATTTCGTATTGAATATATAGTTTGACATGATGTGTTTTAATATTTTTTGGGATGGGGGCAACATGTTACACACAATTATTTGGCTTTAAATAGGTTCCAGGTATTTTTTTTTTTTTTTTTTTGTATTTATTAAAGTTTTGAAACTCACGACCGTCACGTGTCCCTAGGGTACATTTTGCAACGTTCATGCTGTTTTTAGAATAATTATTCATGCCGAAATATATAATATCATATTTTTATTACATCAATAGTTATTAAACTTACGAAAAAGGAGCATATGATAACTTTGTTTTCATTGTAAAATGACTACCATGACTAAATAATAGGTCTGTCCCTCGATTTGACGTCACTACCATTAGGGAAAAATTTGCAACTTTGGAGCACGACAGTGGCAAGCCTGGCGTCGATGGAGTCAGTTGGTTTTAGAGACTATCGGGGTGTACTTCAGGATTGTAGTGCCGGTCGTTTCAAGTTGAAAGGAGGAATTACAAGATTAATAAAGGCAAATTTGTGTTTGTTGTAATTTTGGTGTGTCCATGACCGTAAGTAGTCATTCGATGAAGTAGACATGGTGTTAATTTTTGTTTATAAGATATTTCAATTGCTAGTATAACCTAGAAGTCCACTTTGTATCCTCGAACATGAGGTGCAGGGCTACCGCCAGAACAGAGCCAAATAACACGTAATGTCACGACCAACGTTTCACGACCATCGCAGGTTTTTTTCACGACCAATCCAGCCTTATGGATTATACTGTGTTTGGTCGTGACAATAACTTAAATATCATTGTAAATTGAACAGTTTAGTTCAATTGAAACACATATTTTTATTATAACTAACAGTATAGTTTAAGGATTGTTTAGAAAGATTTAGATTATTCCGGACAATTCATGACCAAACCGCTTGTCCCTGACCATCACGTTTATGATTTCTATCATATACATTTCAAAAATTAAAATATCATCTTATTTCAATATTTTATACACAAAAGAAGCACACCTCTATAAAAGCATAAAGATTTTTCGGGTCTCAGGTAAGGTTTTTCGGAGTTATAAAAACTTAAAAAGATTTTTATTGGCTTTTTTCAATTTTTTGAGTTTTTTCATTTTTTTGTAGAAAGATCAAATATACCAAAAGCTTAGTGAGCCTTTTATTGAATAATGGCCCTAAAAGTAAATTAATTTATAGCAAAACATGGTTATAAAAATAATATTACGGTAACTATTTTTAATATTCAGTTTTATGTCCGTGATGGTCGTGACAAAATTTCTTGTTTTTCCATCAAAGATGCTCTATTAATAAAAAAAACCACAATAGATATTGCGTTACCATGGACATTTTATGAAACTTCAAATGTTAATGAAATAAAAAAATAATAAAAGTTTCAAAAAATGGAACAACAAGTTTTTAAAGTGCTTTTCCTGAAAACGTACGTTACAACATTTTCACTCCATTACCTTAACATGTTCGCTTCTTTTATTCATTATCTGTGTCTTTTGCCTGAAGAAAACAAATAACAGTGTGGCAAAAAGTATCAACAGAAAGCAGAAGATTGACAAAAGCCCAGCAATCCTGGCAGAGAAGACACCTTCCTTCACACTGTAGTGCCAAAACCCTGAAAAATCAACATGTGGTTAATAGTCAGACATTCTACATGTATAGTAGTCAGACCTGCTTTTAAGTTACAATTAGTTCATTTTGATTCTGTGAACTTATGAAACAACTTACATAACCCTTACCCATGTACTGATTGTTGCAGATGTCTGTAAGATGCATTGCTTCAACTTCACTAGCACCTGCTGGAGACTCAGCATACAACACAACAACACAAGCAACTAACATAACCCTTACCCATGTACTGGTTGTTGCAGATGTCTGTAAGATGCAATGCTTCAACTTCACTAGCACCTGCTGGAGACTCAGCATACAACGCCAGCAACACATCAGATAGCTGGTCTAGACTGGACAAAACCATTTCTGAGCAGTTCTGCAACAGAAATTATTGACTTTTGAATCATGAAGTGACATACCTCTATTTAGACACATTTATAAGAAACATATCGTACTGAAACTTAAGAGTATATACAGCTTTTGCAAGCCTTAGTTTCAGATGACTAACCTAGTGTATCGGTAACAAACATTAAATCTATAAGTATAAAAGAGGATGTTTGTATATATATTTGTTTGTTTGTTTGTTTGGGGGTGATAAACTCGGACACCGCTGAACCGATTGCCACGAAACTTGGTACATACGTGTAGAATGTCATGGAATAGGTTTATACACCATCAATTTCGTGATACGTCCAATCGGCTCCGCCCCAGTGGCTCTGGAGCTTCCCATGTTAACCTTATGAGAAATGGAATTAATGAATCTTAACAGCTGTTTCAATTAAACAAGTTGGTTCTGTTCTATGATGTTCAATAGCTTTAAAGTTAGAAGGATTGCCAACAGGGTGCAGCACTATTATTTCTTTTACATTTATGACAACTGCCAATTTGCAACCAAAAGGTGAGTGAGCGTAGCGAACGAACTTCAACCTGGAGGCGAGTTAGCGTAGCGAACGAGCTAACCTGAAGGCAAGTGAGCGTAGCGAACGAGCTAACCTTAAGGCAAGTGAGCGCAGCGAACGAGCTCCAATCTAAAGGTGAGTGAGCGTAGCGAACGAACTTCAACCAGGACGTGATTGAGCCATGCAAACGAGATCATCTTGAAAATTAAGAAGTTAAACGGGGCAAAGCCCGCGGGTTACAGCTAGTTTAATATAAATATCTAGCTTGGATGAACAGTTTCAGTTTCATAAAATCTACACATTTTAGGCAAGAAAGTCACATATTGTTCTATCTGCCTTATTTTTTGTATGTTCTTTGCCAGCTTAATTTGAAATAAGGAATGACAAACACTTTAAAGACAGGGATTGAATAATTTGAGGGATTTTGATTGGACCTTTTCTCCTTAAGTGTTGTTGTCCTCTATTTAAAAATGAATCTGGGGTGAAAACAAACATTTTTTAATAATTTATCATTATTTTATTGTTTCAGATGGGGATGTTCTATCTATGTGTGTATTTTAACCCAAATACAGTATGGGTGAAGGTGAAGGTGAAGGATAAGTGTAGAATGAAGTGTGTGCATTGTGTAGCTTTGTTACTATGGCCAGCTGTTTCATTAGTCAGGACCATTTATTAAAAGCCCAGTGATCAAGGACAGCTGATCCAGTTTTGAATCATCAAAAAACTACACACTTTTTCTCAGAATTGAACCAGAGACCTTTTGATTACTCGGCAAGCACTAACAACTGAGCACTCATGTACAATACTCCCTTAATCCTAGAAACAAGTGCTTGCCTACGAAACTGCATGTTGTAGAAGTTTAAACACAACGCACCTTATTCCATCCTAAGTTCATCCTTCACTCATAGAAAATACACTAGCTGCATGCTTATCCTAATTGGTAGATAATAAATTATAGTAGTGAAACATCTCACCCCACAGACAGTGTAAGAGACAGAGTGGTAATCAGTATCCTTGGGGTCGTACTGTGTTACGGTGAGGTTGTAGCTGTAAGGTATGTCTGCTGGAGGTTGCCACTGCACATGGAGCTCACAATCACCAGAGTCTGACAGATGGTCTTCAGCAGTCAGCTCAGTGGGAGCCTGAGGTCCTGGAACAGGAGTTGTTAGTGAAGTAAAATAAATCATATGAGACAAGATAACGCTGGTCGTCGTTAGTACCTATTAAATCTAAACAAAGCACTCATAGATTAGTAAAATATGATATTTGTCTTTTAAATCATTGGAGTACCTACATCCAGCTACGTCACCATGAATTCTACATTGAGAGTATGGCCATGCCTTGTGTATCAATCCTATGGTTTTAGCGCTTCCGTAATTGTAGACTTTGTATGTTTTTGATTGGGTAAAGCAGCGTTGAGTAAATCTTAAGTTGTTCATTAATCAGTCTTTCCTGTAGTAAGCACAGGTTGAAAGTAAAAAAATCATATACACCTTAGCATTGCATATTGGTTGGTATAACAAGTTGCCATTTTATTTCATCATCAGTGATCACTGGTAGCTACATCTTTAGTTTGCAGTTCTTTTAGAATGTCCTGTACAATAGTTGGATTTGTTTAGTGCTCTCATTGTTTTTCCGTGCATTTATTTCTGATTACATAACTCATTTTGAATAACAATTTTAATTTATGAACTCCTTAAGGAGTTCATAAATTAAAACTGAATTCTGATTAAAAGTGAATTCTGTAAATTACTAATCAAATCTCTGGTTGAACAATACAATCCACTGCAGTGTTTTGGGTTGAACCCTAGACAATATACGAAGTTTGTTTTTTAAGTAAGGGCCATTATTTTGTATTGCTATAGCTCCGTAGTTCGTGTGTACGCCAACATGAGACTACTCACAGCTCATTGGTATCATCTATAAACTGAATGGAACCATTTGCAGCTATGTAGATGATGTGTACCCTTCATGTGTTTAGAAAATTGATTTAACTATTACATCCATACCGTTGCATGCACATGCAAGATAAGGCCAGTCATAGGTTTTTTGACCATAAGAAACATATCCAATACTGACATTCATCGCCAGATGAATTACAGATGAATGTCCGTGAAAATCTTTTTCCGTTTAGTCTTCTGTGCAGTGCCGGATTTCGGGTACCTGTACTCAAGCGGCCCCCACCCCATCAAAATTCCGAGTGATCGTAGTAAAAGACTCGTGAATGACGTTAACTGTAAGATGCAAGGTTAACTGTAAGAAAGGACCTCGAGGTCCTAAGTTCGCCTTAACAAAAACGGATTTTGTCTGCCCTGGACCAAAATCTTGGGGACATCATCATCGACACCCGCAACCGCGGCAAAATCGTGAACATATCCTGTGAGCCGAAATCACAGGAACATCATCACTGTCACCAGTGATCGCGGCAAAATCGTGAACATTTCCTTTTGGCCACAATAACGGAGATATCATTATCGACACCTGCGACCAAGGCAAAATCTAACCTTAGGTGTCACCTAAGTGTCTAACCTTAGGCATTCACAGGCCATCTAACTTAGGGCCTCAGGGTATAACCTTATTCAGTCATCTAGCGATCAATGTCGGCATCGGATGTTTCTTGTAGTAAAATTATGTATCACTTACCTTTTCTCGCTTGCAACAACAGTTACAGTATTTAATCATGTAAAAAAATTTAAACACAAAAAACCTACGTCAGCTGCACATGGTTTCATTCTATTCACAAATGATGCCAGTAAGCGGCAAGGAGCCTCGTGTCAGCATAAACACAAACTACGAAGGTACGAAATAATAGGCCTTAAAAATGACCCTTGTATGTTTATTTGATCTCATTGTTATCTAGTACATTATCAGTCTAGTTGACACTCACTGCAGACTGTGAGGTTCCCAGGGTAGAAGTAGAGACAAGGAGGTACATCAAAGTAGAGCCACGTCACCTCACTCTCTTGCTCTAGGTCAGGGCCTGGTAGAGCTCGGACTCCAAACTTGTAACTGGTGCCCAGCTCTAGATTGGACACTAGGATGTGGTCCAAGGGTTCTGGCTATAACCAAGAGAAAGATAGACATGGGTTTTACATTCAGAATTTCAACTTACCAAAAAAACTTTTTAGCTGTATGATTTTTGTTGGGTGGACTAATCTGAATGAAAAATAGTTTATTCCAGCATACAAAACCCAAACAAGTTACACTATACAAAATTTAGAATAATTCACTGTCACTATAGCAGCAGTTACAAGGGAGGTAAGAATTAAGTTGGCAAGAGAGATGTCTTAACACGTTCGCTGCTGACCGTTAGATGCCGGGACGGCGCCAGGAGCTGAACTAACGCTCGCCGCTACGTAAACATTGCTGCTGATACACTGAATTACAGTAAAAACAACAGTAGTTGTACAGGATGGCAATGTTCTGCAATAAAACTGGTTTTGGACATAGTACTAAGTGATTCTGATAGATAGCAGCACTGCCCAGGTTGTAGTCGGTAAATTAGTGTCGCTATCTAGCAGGAAAGAGGTGGGACAATTAAAAGCCCTGTTCTATACGACCCTGGTGGTGATTTTGGGAAACTATATTTTTTATTGTCAGAAAAGTACGTCCCCACGAGCTGCAAATAAATATATAGGACGCTCGAGACGAGCTGGCTGATCCATGGTAACGTTAAACATCAATGAACGGTGACGTTCCGGAACGTTCCTAGCTCCTGGCGCCGTAGCCCGTTTGACATTCCAGAACGTCCGTAGCAGCGAACGTGTTAAGATCTAACAATCATCTTCTCAGCTCAAACCTTCAATCCTTGGTTGACAATATTGTCAGTGACTGTGAAATATTCTAACTTATATGTATAGTGTAAAGCTTGAGTTTTTGTGTTTCTTGAAGCATTGTGGACCCTCATCAAAACAAGTTTCTTAGTAAACATATAACACCGAAGAGGGACGGACACACAGAATAAGTTTCAGCTAAGTCATGAAGAAGTAACCTGAACGAACTTGGGTAGTTGAAGAAATCATACTCTTCTTTACTATACTTACTACTACCATAGACAAATAGAATTAAATGTATAACGACAGCAGTGCTGCGGTTAGCATATGTTCTGGCGTCTACTACTATGAGCGCCATGTAGTTACGTAGCGGGTGCGCCTTAACTACAAGGCACTCCCAGTGTTGGTCGCCAGAACTTATGCTAACTGCAGCACTGCTGTCGGACTATATTTAATTCTGTTTGTCTATGCTATTACAGACTACCCATGTAGAAATCTAATTCTGGCCCAGGTTCTGGCCAGTACTGGTACAGTACTGGCCAGTACTGCTACAGTACTGGCCAGTAATACCCAGGTTCTGTCCAGTACTGCCCAGGTTCTGGCCAGTACTGCCCAGGTTCTGGCCCAGTACTTCCCAGGTTCTGGCCAGTACTGCCCAGGTTCTGGCCAGTACTTCCCAGGTTCTGGCCAGTAATGTCCAGGTCCTGGCCAGTACTGGTTAGAACCTGGACCAGAACCGGCCAGTACTGGCCAGAACTCACCAGTACTGGCCAGAACTCACCAGTACTGGCCAGAACTTGCCAGTACTGGCCAGAACTTACCAGTAACTGGCTAGTACTTGTAGATTCTAGACCAATAATCAATCTTGACAGAGTACAGTATGTAAATAAAGGAACCGAGGTTAAGGTAATAAAATACAGATATTTGAAGTAAAAACTAGTCAATTAGTATTATGTTTTGCGGGGTGGCTGCACTGTGCACTGAGCCCTGAAGTGGGATGATTCGTCACGGCTCCTTCTTCTATGTCCAACAGCGATCGTAAGTGGTTCTTTATAATTACTGTCCACTTTTCTAGCGTAACGTTAGGTTACGACATTTTGGCGCAGTCGGTAATAAACCTTTTTATCATAGTTAGGGTAGTACGCGATAACAGTTGTTGTTTTAGTGCGTATTATAGTTGAGATGATTAAAAATGGCGAGTATTAGTGTTGGCAGGATTTCTGAATTTAATCCAAGTGAGGAGGACATTGTGCCCTATTTGTTGCGCCTGAAACATTTTTTCAAAGCGAACAATGTCAAGAAGGAAAACGAGGTGTCGGTTTTAATTACAGTTATTGGTCCCAGGGTTTTATCGGTCCTATCCGATTTATTATCACCGGTAGAGGTAGATTCTAAGACCTATGATGAACTTGCAGCGTTGTTGAAATTACATTATGCGCCCAAGAAGTTGGTTGTGGCGGAGCGATATGTATTCTACTCTCGTGTGCAAAAGCCGGGCGAAAGCATAGCGGAGTTTGTGGTTTCAATAAAACATTTGGCTAGTTCGTGCAAATTTGGTACCTTTTTGAAAGACGCTTTGAGGGACAAAGTGATTTCCGGCATTTCTAATGAAACTATCCGGCAGAAATTGTTGTCGGAGGAATTGGACTTTGACGAAGCTTATGCGTCAGCGCTCAGGCTGGAACAGGCCGAATCGCAGTCAAGCCTATTTGTGCAACCTCGTGGGGACATTGCGAAAATCAAGGTGAAAAGTCAAAATAGGCCTAAAACTTTCATACATAGGAGTAGTGAAAATCAAAATTCTAGAAACTCTTGCTGGAGGTGTGGTTCTGCGGGTCATTGGCCTAGTGCGTGTGCGTTCGCCAGTTGCAAGTGTCACGGTTGTCAGAGAGTAGGTCATCTCAAGAAAGTGTGTAAAGCCAAGAAATCTTCTAGTTTCCATGGTAAAAAGTCGACACCTAGGATGGGGGTCCATCAAGTGGAGGAAGAGGTAGGCCTAGGCCTAGAAGTTCCAATGGCAGAGATAGGTTTGTACAACCTTAAATCAGGATCAGACAACGGCTATAAGGTAGGCCTAGTGGCTAATGATGTATATTTAGAAATGATTCTAGATACAGGCAGTGCCTTGACTATATGTCCTTCTGAGATATTTTATGAAAAATTTTCTAACCTCAAACTTAGGCCAGCAAATGTGAAACTTACTACTTATTCAGGTCATGATGTACCTGTTCTGGGACAAGTGAATGTCAATGTTAAATATAATAATCAGCAGGCGAGTTTGCCTTTGACAGTAGTTAGTTTAGAAAGTAAGAGTCAGCCGATTCTGTTGGGGCGAAACTGGTTAGGCCAGTTGAGGTTAGATTGGCAAAATGTGTTTTCATGTAAAGCCACTGTGGATCACAGTTCTGATTTGGACATTGCTAAATTGAAGAGTAAATTTAAGTCAGTTTTTCAGCCTGGAACGGGCGAAATTAAGGGTGTTAAGGCTCATATTGTCTTAAAGGAGGGGACAGTCCCTAAGTTTTGTAAGGCGAGACCAGTGCCTTTTGCGTTAAGGGAGAAAGTTGAGAGTGAGTTGGACCGCATGGTTCAAGAGGATGTTGCGTACAGAGTTACTAATTCACAGTGGAGCACTCCACTTGTGGTTGTCCCTAAGCCTAATGGTGTTAGGCTTTGTGCCGATTATAAGATTACTCTTAATCAGTGTATTGAAATGGAACATTATCCGCTTCCACAGGCTCAAGATATTTTTGCAACTCTAGGCGGTTGCTCAGTTTTTAGCTGCCTTGATCTTTCAAATGCGTATCAGCAATTGGCGGTAGCGGATGAATCGCAACATCTGTTGACCCTAGCTACCCATAAGGGTCTGTATCGTTTAAAAAGGCTACCATATGGTTTGTCTTCAGCTCCTGCAATTTTTCAGTCAGCCATCGACCAAATTTTAACAGGTCTTCCAGGAACGGTGGCGTACTTAGATGACGTCTTAGTGGCGGCTCGCTCTAAGGAAGAGGGGCTTGCCCGTCTGGCGCAGGTGCTGCAACGCCTTGATGAGTTTGGTGTTCGAGTAAACCAACAAAAGTGTAAGTTTTTGCAATCTTCAATCGAGTATTTAGGACATGTGATTACTCGAGATGGTCTCCGTCCACAAGAAAGTTTGTTAACTGCGCTGCGTAAAGCGCCTGAGCCTAGTACTAAGGAAGAGTTACGAGCCTATATTGGTCTAATAAATTATTATCATGCATTTATACCTAACCTGTCTGCTAGAATAAGCTGTTTTTATGACTTATTACATAAGGATCATCCATGGGTGTGGTCGGAGGTGTGTTCTAAGACTTTTCAGGAGAGTAAATCATGGGTGTTGGACTCAAGTTTGTTAGTTCACTATGATGTTAAAAAGCCCATAGTTCTGACGTGTGATGCGAGTCCCAGAGGGGTGGCTGCTGTTCTATCTCATCTTATCGATGGTCAGGAAAGGCCAATTGCCTTCGCATCGAAAACGCTAAGTTCCAGTGAACGGAATTATTCTCAGTTACATCGGGAGGCTCTGGCTTTGATCTTTGGAGTCAAAAAGTTTCATAAGTATATATATGGAAGACACTGTATTCTACAGACTGATCATCAGCCGTTGACGGCTATTTTTGGCTCTAAAAAGGGCGTTCCTAGTATGGCGGCAGCTAGGCTGCAGAGATGGGCCTTGATTCTATCAGCATATGATTTGGAGGTTAGGTACCGGAAGGGAGTGGATGTCCCTCACGCTGATGCGTTGTCTAGGTTACCCTTAGCAGAAGCGGAACCTATAGAGCTGGATGCTAATTTTGTTTCACATGTAGATGTGTGTACAGAAGTGATGAACAATTTCTGTGTTGTCAAGGACATTGCACCTATTACTGCCTTGCATATAGGTAAAATGACGGATAAGGATCCGATTCTTTCGAAGGTCCGAGATTTTGTGATGTACGGCTGGACGAGCTCGGTTGAGCCAGAACTAGCTATTTTTCTAAGGAAGAAGGACGAGTTGTCCGTGGAACAAGGTTGTTTGCTGTGGGGTTCTCGTGTAGTGATTCCAAAGAAACTGTATTCATCTGTGCTTCAAATGTTGCATGATCAACACCCGGGAGTTACACGCATGAAGATGCTGGCGAGAAGTTATGTCTGGTGGCCAGGCATGGAGAAGTCGATTGAAGACGTGGTGGCCTCTTGTTCTGCGTGTCAGTTAACTAGGAATTCGGTACCTAAAGTACCGTTGCAGCAATGGCCTACAACATCAACTCGATGGCAGAGGATAC